GTGAGTCAAGAGAAGGAGAAGAATGCTGTGAGTCAAGAGAAGGAGAAGAATGCAGTGAGTCAAGAGAAGGAGAAGAATGCAGTGAGTCAAGAGAAGAAGAATGCAGTGAGTCAAGAGAAGAATGCAGTGAGTCAAGAGAAGGAGAAGAATGCAGTGAGTCAAGAGAAGGAGAAGAATGCAGTGAGTCAAGAGAACGAGGAGAATGCAGTGAGTCAAGAGGAGAAGAATTAGCTTAGCTAGTGCGGGGAAACGAACTAATGTGTTTATTGCACTGATCGACTTGGCTTTCATACCTTACAACAAACAGGGTTAACAATGAGGAAATGCTTATGGATGTATATGTTTATTTCCTGCAGGGTTCAGTTACCCTCGTTTGCAGCAGAAATTAAAAATTTTACCGCCAAATTACTCATTATCTTGAACTAATCATCCTAAAATATTACGGGACTCAACTGCAGACCGTGAGAGATCGTGATCTGAATCTATTAACTACAGAAATTCTGTAGAAATTCTCTTAAGAAATTACCTACAGAAATATTACCTACAGAAATGAATTATTGCAAGGCAAGAACAAGTCTCGTCAAGTAAGGCGGACGTATGTTATTGTAATTTATCCGATAGCTTTTTATTTTAAAATCCCAACTGGCGTTTCATTTTTTGAGCAAGTAAATAACGTTTCAAGCTTAATAACTGAAACTTTCGCTAATAAATAACCTCATTACGCACTGTACATGATTTATTTCTATGTTTAAGAGACCATAATAACATATTTTTTAGACGTGTATTGCTAATAACTTGTTTTTATGGATACCCTGCGACCAAGAACTGGCCTGTCGGGCTGATCGTATGAGCGCGCACGCTCCTTATACGCAGCGTGCTGTCAGCCCGTGCCTTGGTGCTGCCAGCCCGTGCCTTGGTGCTGTCAGCCCGTGCCATGGTGCTGTCAGCCCGTGCCATGGTGCTGTCAGCCCGTGCCTTGGTGCTGCCAGCCCGTGCCTTGGTGCTGCCAGCCCGTGCCTTGGTACTGCCAGCCCGTGCCTTGGTGCTGTCAGCCCGCGCCTTGGTGCTGTCAGCCCGTGCCTTGATGCTGTCACTGAGACGCCTTGGTGCTCGGCGGCGCGAGCGTCTCAGTGACAGCGGCGCTAACGAGGCAGTGGAGGTGCAGTGTTGGTGCAGTGTTGGTGCAGTGTTGGTACAGTGTTGGTGCAGTGTTGGTGCAGTGTTGGTGCAGTGTTGGTGCAGTGTTGGTGCAGTGCAGTGCAGTGTTATCACAGAGGGGTACCGGCGACGCGAGCGTCTCAGTGTCAGCGGCGCTAACGAGGCAGTGGAGGTGTGCAGTGTTGGTGCAGTGGAGGTGCAGTGCAGTGCAGTGTTATCACAGCGGGGCACCAGCGACGCGAGCGTCTCAGTGTCAGCGGCGCTAACGAGGCAGGCCGCAGCGCCGTGATGGACGACAGCGCGACGCTCGTTACGCTGACGGCGACGAAGCGATGCGCTATAAACTCGCCTTCACGAAATATCTTCGAGTATCGCAAGTTTGTGACGATCGCTACACTTGATATCGATGTCGGTCATACGACAACCAGCTTGAAAAATTAGAGGGAATCTCTAAGAGGCTTCACGTTTACGGGAGATTCCAAGTCTAATAAGACGTGTCGTGACTATAGCTATAACT